GAAAAGGCGCTTATCACCTGCTCAGGGGCGCGGACATCCGTTGTGCCAGGCGTATTAATACTACACGTCTTGGGGATTTATCGTGCCACTTGCCTTTAACTAGTGAACGATGTTTAGCATCCCGTTTGCGGATGCGCCACGCAATCTGCTAAGTTCAGTAGTTGTAGTTTTTGACCATAGAGTAACTTGTTTGTCCAGAGAATGCGTAGGTCGCTGTGCTTTTCCTCCCGCACGAGCACGTGTCGCAAGCGACCGCAGTCACTGGTGAAGCTGGATAATTGGAAGGTCAAACCACAAATCGGCTCCTGCTCGAGCCAATCGAGCCTTCTAGCCTCCGTGGTTAGTAAACTGTTATCAGATCCAGTTGGGAGGATAAAGACACCCACTTGTAATCGGCTAGCTTCGCAGGTCATTGTATAGTTCACCAGCGCACATTAAGCAACTACGGTTCTGAAAAAAGGTAGAAGTGCCGCATGCCTGAGAGGGATTGATGAACGATGCTTTATCCTTTTCAACTGTTCAGTGTTACCGATTTATTTTCAAGGCATACCATCGTCTGCTCCTGGAGCTAATCCGTTCATGGCACCACCGCCGCAGATGGTCCCTCCACCGGGTTTCCCCATGCGTCTGCCGATGCCTCCAGGCATGCCAGGTGGAATGCCAACAGGAATGCCCGGACAGGTGAGTAGCATTCATAGTACCCCAGCGATTCTTATGTTGAGTAGCACTCTTCTCAGGTGTTCGGCGGACCACCTGGCCATCCCTTGATGATGCCACCACCAGGATCGATGCAACCTCATTCGTCGATGCCCCCACCTTCATCAATGCCGTCGTCGGTGCCTCCACCGGCGTCAATGCCGCCACCGATTCCAGGAGTTTCAGGAATGCCACCTGGACCTGTCCCGATGAGACCACCTCCTCATATGCCTGGAGCTCCAGGTGGCCCTCCTGGACCGCAGATGCCGCCAGGCCCGGTTGGTCCTCCCAATTTCAACGCTCCAATTAGAGGAGGATTCGGTCCAGGAATCAGAGGTTAGGAAATTTTTATAATTTTTGAAATTTGATACCAAGTTTTTGTTTGCAGGCGGACGCGCAGGCTTTGATAGTGGCCGCGCGGGCTTCAATAATACTGGTCGTGGAGGATTCGAGGGAGGTCGTGGAGGATTTGGAGGAGGCCGTGGAGGATTTGAAGGAGGTCGTGGAGGATTTGAAGGAGGTCGTGGAGGATTCGAAGGAGGTCGTGGAGGATTTGAAGGAGGTCGCGGAGGATTCGAAGGTCGCGGAGGATTCGAAGGAGGTCGTGGAGGCTTTGAAGGTCGCGGAGGATTCGCAGGTCGTGGACGTGGAGGCTTTCATGGAGATCGGAGTTACAACGTTGATAAAAGTGCGAATGTGCCCCTCACGAGAGGGGAAGATCCACCTGAAAAAGAGGCTAGACGACCGTGGAATGACAAATCCGAACGAGCAGGACCTCGTGGACAATGGAATGAGGGTCGAGATGGAAGAGACCGTGATGGAGACAGAGAGCGACGCCGTTCTGTCGATCGAAGCGAGCGAAGAAGGAGTAGATGGGACGATAGAGGAAGCAGTAGCAGTCGACGAGATAGTCGAGAAAGACATCGAGGCGATAGAGAGGATCGAGATCGCGACCGTCGATCTCGAGATCGTGACAGAAGCAGGAGCAGAAGCAGGAGCAGAGAAAGGGACAGGGAAAGAGACAGAGATAGGGATAGGGACAGAGACAGAGACAGGGATAGAGATAGAGACAGTAGAGACCGGGACAGAGATCGAAACAGCGACAGTGACCGAAGAAGGGATCGAGATAGCAGGTCAGACCGAGGTGACCGCAGTCGACGCGATCGAGAAGATCGGTCAGACCGACATCGAACAAGGGAGAGAGAGGTGAGCTCCTAATTTATTTTTCTGAAGTGCTACTTCCGGTACATTTTTTTCTTTTAGTCTCCTCGTTATGATGACGAACCTCCATCTGCACAAACTCAAGCACCACCGGATAGCGCTCGTAGTGAGTTTCGTTTGATTTGTTGAGACTTTCAAAACCGATGTTGGGTTTGGTTTTGGGTGTTTGTTTGTTTGTATGCTTATGACGGAGGCTGCAAAGTGGCGTTGCTGATGCTGTCGCGTGCGAGGCATTCGCACCACGGCTCCCCGCCGCCCCCCCCCCCCCCCCCCCCCCCCCCCCCTTCGCACTGCACACCTCGTCTGCGATTCGGCCTAAGTCCTATGCGGGGGGCTGTGCATTTTGCACTTTGCAAGAGTTCCATCGGCATCGACAATTCCGAAACATTAGGAGCTTACAACAGTTGGCAGTTATTATAACCGTGGTCGATCAAGCTGGCTCGCTCCTTGCTTCACAAGGATTTAACACGTCGCATCAAGGTGGGACTTTGTGATCGGGAGCTATTTGCGCAGTCGGAATACAAAAGCCCTCCCTCCATCGCCGAGCTGCTCACCTTTCTCCCCAACCTCTCGTATGATGTAATCATATGGTGCAGATATTGAGGGCGCACTTGTAAAGTTATCATCTGGGCGTCGGACTGTAAAATGTGAACCCACTATCCGTGTATCGTTGGCATCTTTTCGACAGTCTTTTGCTGTGTCAAGGCTAAGAGGTTGTAGTGGGACGCACTGGCAATGCCCGCACGCGCCATGGGGCCTGGGGTCATGTCTCGGATCGGGTCTTCCGCCTTGACAATCCATCCAGCCTTCTACTCGCTTCAGGGTGGTACCCTATTGTCCTGGGAGAATAAGTAACACTGACTTGTGACAATCGTTGCCCGCAAATAGTTGTATAGGCCACGCATTCAATTTTTAAGCCACTACATCTGAAAGAAGTAAACATGCATGCGCTCCGAGAGGAAGCGGATGATCGACGCACGGTTAAAAACTATCCTTATCCTCATTTCTGAGTATCAAGGCAAGTGATTATCTAGCTAGAAGGCACGTAGTAATTAACTCAATCCACAGCGGGAAGCGTCACGTGTAGTGTTTTTAATGCGATCGGTTGTGTTGTTTGCCGCTTGGCGCAGATTAGCACAGGGACCGTCATCAAGTGGGTAAATGGAGCTTAGGGAGTGGGGAAAGGGCTGGGGCGAGTCTTGGTGATCACTAAAAGGTAAGGCGCTGGAGACGCTGAGCGGGCAGGGAGGGGCGCACCTGCGCTGTCGTCAGCAATCCTAGTCTTCTGTAAACGTGTCTAAGTGAATACCGGAACAGCCTCAACAACTGTCTGTAAGCTTCCTGGCAAACTGTCCCAAGATGACTGATCAGATTGGAACAATGGAAAATGGTTCAAGATGATGCTAGGTGCCATTTTCCAGCAGAAATTACATCGTAGCTTACAGGATCTTTACAGGAACTTGCAGGAGGGGGGGGCAACTGCGAAAAGGCAAAAAAGGAGACTATGACACGTCCACATATCGACAAGCGCGCGTAAGTTTGGCCACCCCTCCCCAAGGTTATTAGCGCCAAAAGCGGAAACATACTTCATTAGCACCGAAGTATCTCTTCACCCAAAGCATCTAGTCCTGGACCTATGTGACACCTGCACCCCTGTTATTTAGAGGCAGATTTTCGGATTTTCTTAAAATGGTTGTTCAGATGGCTCGGAAGAAGCCATGGTGACGTCGACGACAGATGTGGACTTGAGCATGATTGAAAGACCGCCTAATCCACCGGAAACTTTCGACGCACCAGAACCCGCGGAACCCGAAAGGAATTCGGAACCCGTTGAGGAACCGATTCAGTTGGTGAGTGAGGTTTGAGACAGTTCGATCTCAGCACTATAATGAGTTTAGAAGTCATTACAGCACTGTTAAAGAAAACTTGCCGGCTCTTTTTTTATGGTAAACGGAAGTTTCAGAATGCAATGGATGAGCCGGTCGTGGAAGAATTACTGTTCAAGAAACCGTTACCAAGAGCAACACCACTCCTTGGAGGATTGTATCAAGATATATCACCACCGGATAAATCCCCAGATCGGACTGTTACTCCTCCTCCAGCTCCAGAACCTACAGAAGCAGCTGAAACCACAGAGACGTGAGGTTGTAAAGATGTTATTATGGTTCAATTCACCTCGTTACTTTGTTTTACTATGCAATTGTAGCATCACATCCTTGGATTTATTGAGTGATTATAAAATATTGATTGATGATATTACGTTATATTTGGTTTTTGGTGGAATTTCAAGCTGACTTGTGTCAAGTGATTGGCACAATCGCAGAGGCTCAATTTTGCATAACTGATGGTTTGGTTTTTTCCTCAAGTAGACTTTTAACCCAAGAAATCCAACGTCAGTCCTATCAATAGTCTGTTCACTAATCCTATTCTGATCGATTCCGATCAAAATCGATTTTTGTTTGTCGTCGTTATTGATTTGAACGCGTAAAGTTCAGCTGGGGAACGTTACGCGTAATGACAAGCTCCTGTTCTTAACGAGTTGATCCATCCTTATCGTATCGTTTTGTAATTCAACAGCTAGGAGGCGTGGCTTAGTTTAATGGAATTAATTTTTCAAATATTTTTGTGAGAGTTCCGAAGCCCCCCCCCCCTCCAATCTGATGCAAAGTCTACGTTGATCGTGTGCGTGGCGTCAGAATTACCATTGGGTTTCCTTCACGAATATGCCCATCCCTAACCGTTAACGGTAGATGGCGCATCGATGAGAAGGCTGCATCACACCACCCGCCCGACCTATGAGCGTAGACTGTGGGCTGTAGAAGAGTAGCTGCATGCGTGGGAACAAAATTCGTGGCAATTTTCGGAAAATCTAGTAGGATGTCGCGAGGTTCGAGGTTAGGGAAGGGGGGAGGTGGTAGTAGTGAACGAAATTCCGGGGGGAGGGTTCCGAAAACTTTCCCCGACGGCAGCATCTGCCTTAGCGTTCAATATGGTTCGGTGCAGGAAGGCGTGGTAGTAGGAAGTACACCACCAAACGCGATTTGATAAACTTCGTCTACACTTGGTGAACGGCTGTTGGCTGCCTGTTGAAATTGCAGAAATAGTGTTGGTGTGAAGGAGACGCAGGATGGCAGAGGAAGGCCGAGCTAAATCCGTGCCCTTCCTATCCGCGCAACGCCGCTGGTTCTATCGTGACGTATTCCACGGCTAGTGCGAAACCCTACAACTTCTGCACAAGGTGGCCAGGGATAACATGCGCACCGTGGTGGGGTCTGGGACTGAGTCTTATTTGAAGACCACTGGGCACCCTGGGTTGGCGCCTAGCGGATCTGGTGTGAGGCTTTTCCGATTCTAGCCTTCCCCCCCCACATCCTTTCTCCGCGCCCTTGTGGGATGACCTGTCTTTGTACAATCTGGAGGAAAGGTTTAAATTCGTAAACAAGGATTTTTATGATAATTATTAGGGACTCGTCTTCTCAAAAGCTGAGCTGGCCAACGACCGTGTCACCGGTTATTTGGGTTGCGTTCATACTTCGCGACCTGGGCGATTCAGTCGCGCGACTGCGACTGACCGCGCTCCACTGCTGCAACTGTTAACTATCAAATACTACAAAAAATCGAGCGTGACAGCGGCTCAGTGATTAGCGGTAGAACGCGATTAGTCGAAGTCGTTTGATTTCTGTCTTCCGCGACTGGGATCGCTCGAGTCGTGATGTATAAACGCTCCCTTAATAACTTCTACCGCTCTTCTCCTTTGGTCGTTGCGAATCCACGCAAAATTGTCGCATTTATCGTCTCAAAAAAGGCGTAAAGGCGCAGTTCTCTAAGTGAGAAGTCTCCATCTCATGACGTCAATAACCTCCAAATACAATTCTCTATTCATTTGTATATCTGTTGGTTTCTGTATCCATGTTTCAATTAATTCTCGCGGACGTAACTGCCCGCTACGTTCATGTTCTCGATTCAATTTAATTCTTTTCAAGTGTTGATCATATGAACGAAGGTTCAGTTGTTATGAACAATAATGTTTTTTCAAATTTTTCATGTATGTGATGACAATGAAATAAGAAATATGTTTTGAATAATAAATGTTAGTTAAGTTAATGATCCCTCCGAGATGAACCCCTTGTTTTGTTTGCTACGGATGATGGGGGTGTGTTGAGAGACGGACAAGACAATCGTAATTTGTTGCGTCGTCGCGAGCGAACCTTGCGGAGCTGCTCGGCGAATTCCCGATGTGCGTCCGTTTGTAGATTGAACAGCCAAACTCGTATGAACTCATACGGAGAAGACTTCATGACAGACGATACCGAATGTTCCCGTTCCCTTTTCACT